AAGTATGACAACATAGATATACAACTTAGTTATTATTTCATCAAATTATCTTAGCCTTATTTAATTAATTTAATTAGTAGTTATATTTTAATTATTATTTCTTTAGTGAATAATTAGTATTTAAATATTTAAATTAATTTCATCAATTACTCAATATTTTTTTTAAATATTGTACAAAATTAGTTTTTTAGTTTAATATTGTAATTAAGTAATATCTTAGCATTATTTAATTACTTTAATTAGTAATTATGTTTTATTTATTATTTATTTAGTGAATCATTAGTATTTAAATATTTTAATTAATTCATAAATTACGTCATAAATAGTAAATAATTATATTTCATTATCTCAAATAACTTTTGGACTTCAAAATTATTGAAAAATAGTTTCAATCATTTAAAAATCCTAGAAAATTATTTTAGTATTCCAAACTCTAAATCCAAGTAAAACACCCTAACTTCCAAACTTTTCCAACATTGTTCCAAAACCGTTCACAAAGCCTCGAACCTACCACTAAATCTAGTTTCTTTAGTTTTTTTTTATCCAGCTTCTTTTATTTAATATATGTAATTAAGTAGTATTTTAGTTTTTTTTTTAAATACTAATGAAAATAATTAAATAACACTAAGATATTATTTAATTTCAAAAAGAAAAAAAATTATTAACCTAAAGAAACACCTGTCTCCGACAAAATTTCATGGCATAGGTCTATGCTAGAGAAAATCTGTCGGATTAGACTTCTCACAACAAAGTTTTGCTGGCTATGTCTATGCTGATGAATTTCATCGGGAGAGGTCTAATCCGGCAAATTTTTGCCGGTATATTTCTATGCCAACTTTTTTTAAAAAAATATAAAAAAATTAGTTTATTTAATTAAGTAATACCTTAGACTTTTTTTAATTGCTTTAATTTGTAATTATATTTTAATTATTATTTATTTAGTGAATATTTAGTGTTCAAATATTTAACTAATTTCATGAATTGCGTAATAAATAGTAATTAATTATTTTAAATTATTCGTGTGCACTTTGTTTTTTGTTTTTTTTAAAACAAAATTAGTTTGTTTAGTTTAGTATTTCAGGTTTGGAAGGTAAAATTCATTTTTAGAATACTAAAATAATTCTATAGGTTTTTAAATCACTGAATTTTTTTTAAAATAATTTCATAGATTAAAAATAATTTTAAAGTCCACACAATTATTAAATATAATTAACTACTATTTATTAAGTAATTTATGAAATTAATTAAAATATTAAAATACTAATTATTCACTAATTAAAGTAATTAAATAAGGCTAAAATATTAAACTAAACAAAAAATAATAAATCATCATTATGGGCCGACGTGACATATTTGATGGTAAAGTTGTAAAAATGAGATATTATTTCTTGTCGGAGCTGGATGATACACGTATCCAAACAGCCCCAAATTTATTCAGTTGCGTCGTCGACACTGCGTTGATAATATTTGCTGCAAAGCAACGAACATTCCCGGCACAAAAAGCAAAATACTTAACAGAGAAACTTTGACAGAGAGAGAAACAGGAGAGAGAGACTCTACAATGGCGAATGAGAAGCCTCTGAGGAAAATATCGCAGGCATTCAAAGAGCTCGAGGCAGACGTAAACTCCCAAACAGCGGAAATCGAGGTCGCGCCGTTCTCCAGCGCGTGCTCTTTGGTGTCGCCTCTGTTCGGATGCTTGGGCATCGCCTTCAAGTTCGCCGAGATAGACTACGTCGCCAAGGTACGTAATTTCAATTTTCCGTTTGGTTCCCTGGAAAATCAACGAAATGAACACGAATCAAAATCTGGAACTTTTCCGTTTGAATTTGATCGATTTCTGGATGGTAACAGGTCCATGATCTCGCGGAGGCATCGAAGTCAATCTCGACCTTACCGGTTTTGCTCGACCGCGATATCGAAGGGGATTCCGTGAGAAAAGCCGGTAGTCATTCGAGGAATTTGCTGAGAGTTAAGCGTGGGCTCGACATGGTTAGGGTACTCTTCGAGCAAATTATAGTCACCAAGTACGTATTTTCAACTACTATTTCTTTGCATTATAGTTGGACTGTTTGCTTGTTCATTTCCAATTTCATTGTATATGTATTGCATCGAAAAGAGAAGGTGCTTATTTCAAATGGTGAGCTTCATCTAAGGAAAACATGCATTCTAGTACAAAGTTTATTGGGATTATTTGCCCATGGAAAATGCTAAATGTATTTTAAGTTTCAGTCAAAAGTCACACTTTGCACCATAAAGTTTCATTTTGGTTCAATTCTGTGTATTTATACCCAAAACTTGTGCACATTGTACCACTGCAAGTCTGCAAATGTTAGTCATTCCTTCAATTTTTGCGTTAGATGAGACAGATTAGTGACCTGTGACCACTATTTAATCCAATGTAAGGGTAGAATTGAGATGAAAAATATATTCTCGCTCAAGTAGCTGCAGCGGTTGTGCAGTCATACATGGATGCCTTCCCTTTACTGCATCTCGTTTGTTGTTTCTAGTTGTTTTAGGAGAGAATGTATTTTTCATTTATTTACTTCCCAGAAATTGGTTTAAATGGTGACCGTGTGGTGACTGATATATTTAATTAACATTGACATTAAACAGAGTTAGCATTGCTACAATGTAATAGGGTAGGCATAAATTGTTTACATTGAAATATCATGGACCAAAGTGAAATTCGCTCCAGCTAAGGGGTCGAAGTGAAATTTCCTACAAAATTATTTGGATGCCGAAGTTCCTATGATGTGGTTAAAGTATTAATATTTCTTTATTTTCGTTTGGAGGGGAAATTCCTTGAAGGATGCTGCTTCCAAGGCTTATGCACAGGTGTTTGCTCCCCACCATGGGTGGGTCATCCGGAAAGCTGTTGCTGCAGGGATGTATGCACTTCCTACTAAAGAACAACTATTACATAAACTCAATGAAGATGGTGAGTGAATCAAGAGAGTATTACATTTGTTTCTTATCTTATAAATCTCAACAAAGAATTTGGCTGCAATGAGAGTTAAATTTTGACATTTTGTACTACGATGAGGGCTGGAGCTGTGGTTTCATTTTTAAACCTATACACACCCCGTTTGACCTTTGATCAGTTTGAGTGGAGCTTTATTGAAATGTTTGAAAACTAAGGATTGGCTACTTACCTGGTTTTGACTTTGCTTGGTTTCCAATTTGATATCTGGTCTTGCTTCTACCTTCCCCATCAGTTTAGATAAAACTTTCAAAACTCAAGTCTTCTAAAATTATATCCAGTCTTACTTCTACCATTCCTTTCTTTTATAACTTTTAAATATCAAATTTTCCATAATTCACATTGTGTATCTGTGTCATTAAGATACTCTGATTTCAGATGATTTGAGTCTAGGGTTGAAATGTTCAGCACTCACTTAGTACCGGCTATATTTGTCACTTTGCCAATAGATTGTGGGATAGAAATTGGGAGGAAAAACCCTTGGATTGATTATGTTTGCCCCTTTCTTTTTTTCCTTTGTTTCAAAGAAACTTTTATTTTTATAGTTATAAGTGACCAGTTGTATGAACTCCACATTGCTTTCACTTTGTTTATTTCAGAGAACTCAGCAAGCGTTCAAATGCAGAATTACATTGCTGCTTCGACGCCTCTAATTCTGTACATCGACCAACTCTTCCATTCAAGGAAATTGGGTGTAGATTGGTAAAGCAGGAATCGCATTGTAATTTATGGAGAATTGTAACTGAGATAATTTAATCAATTGGCGTTATATATACATTAGTAATTGATGTCATTGATTTATTAGAAAATACTGTTGTATATTGTGAAAAATTATTGATAAAGTGATGCAGGTTTGGATTTTCCCATGATCCAATATGCTCACAACATTTTTCCTCTGGTGCTGGATTAGAGTTGAATTGTGCTTTGCTGAACCCTATTTTTTCTGTCTATAACTGTATCGAATAATTGCAACAAGTGAATGATCCATTTTATCAACATAAAGAGTTGGTAAACTAACTTATAAAATTTGGCTTGCTTTTCCAATTTGTGCGTTGTGTTGTGGTGATAATTTTACATAAACCAAAGTTTTCTGTTTATAAGTGTGTTCATAATTGCAACTTTAATCTGATCTACCAAAATACATTGATAAATCATAAACTTATATATATATATTTTTTTATTTATTTATTTATATGAGTATAAAATAAATCCCTCGGAAAGCCTTGAAGACCAATTATTCCATCATATGAGTATAAAATAAAAATCGAAAATGAATTTAGGATTCCGAAAGAATATACTAAAAAAATCCCAAGCTCATTTTAAGAAAAAAAAAAAACAAATCAAATTGGGATTTTCAAATGAGAAGATGTGCACAAAAATGGATGGAAAAACCAACTCATTCCATCAAATAGAAACCTACATGGAGGAGAATGCAAAAAAGAACAAATGCACCAAGGTGTTGGACACTATGTTGACCTCACCTCCTTCTCAAGCAAATCCTACAAATCAAGGGATAACTCTTACTTGTCATACCCCACATCCCACCAAACAAGGGGTAGCTATGCCACCTCCTATACCTTCTCAATGCCCAAGACCCCAAATCATGGGGAGCCATGCAAAAGTCCCAGCAATAAATCAAACTTAAAAGGGAAGTCACCACCTCCAAGCAAAGAGAGGATCATCTGCCATGGCTGGGAAGCTCTCAAAATATCTCCAAAGCTCACTCCTTTGTCTTACAAAGGCTCTCAAGCCTTTCTCTTTTCATGTAAAATGTAAACCATACTCAAATACAAATACGAAGCTATAAACTAGAGTGGATATAGCCCTATTATGAGTGAACTACTCAAACACTGTTATGTATGTGATTATGTCCAATCCGCTAGGTACAAATTCACCCGTTAACACAAAACCCTAAACGATTGCTCCCAGCAAGCTATCCCCAAAAAGAAAACAAGAGAAATTGCAATAATCGACAAAAAACAAAAAACACCATAACTTCAATCGCTAGCCCACCTAAATTCTGTTAGGTTGGGCCAGGCTGCTAGTTCCTTCTTTCGCTAAATGGCCTATGACAATTCAGAACCTAAACCCGGAGACCCGCCAAAATTTCTAGCCCGACCAGAACCGACCGCCCAAACCCTTTCTCTGCGCGTCTTCGTGTTCGCGCCCTTTGTTTGTTGCTGTGTCTCGTCGACTGTGAGAGCCACCTCTTTCAGCTCCCCTCATTCACTTCCTTCTTGTTCCTTCTTTAGTCAACCAAATCTCAAAACACACGTTTCGCATCTCTCTCTGTAAAACCCTAATGACATAAACAAAACCCCAATTCCCAATTCCCAATTCCCAAACTCCAAACCCCAAATCTACACACAAAGTTCACCAAATGGAAGACTCAGACGGAGACATCAACTTCGACTTCGAGGGGGGCCTCGACGCCACCGCAGCCGCGGGCCCCACAAACCCGGGTCCACCATCTAATTCTCTGATGCAGTCCGACTCGGGCGTTGCGGCGGTGGACACCAACCCTGCAGCTGCGGCGCCACAACCCAACCACCCGAATCCCAACCGGTCGGGTGGGCGGAGCTACCGCCAAACGGTGTGCCGTCACTGGCTGGGTCA